AGTGTGACCTTGGCAGGTTCTCAGGACTTATATAACAGATACACACATGTCACCTGACCATCTGTTGCACCTTTTAACTTACTCTAACCCTGACAATGAATATCTACTTTTCTCTGCTTTACTTGTAACACATTTGTCACTGGAGTATTACAAATAAAGTATAACCCCACTTCTTTTAGGTTTGGTGGTGAACGGTCAGTTGGTCGGCTCTAAGCAGGCGCACAAAGGCAAACTGAGCACGTACTTCGGCACCATCTCAGTGTACTACCAGCCCGATGGAGTGAGCCTGACCGTCGGCACCGACAGCATCTCCATGACCGACGGCCAGAGAAACCACTCCTTCACCTGGGGGGCCACGGCTAAAATCTCACAGGATGGGTAACCCTGACACATTTCATCTTTAATTACAGCATCTACCTCACTCAGGGTGATTTGTACCTCATGTGTCTGTGTTTCAGTGTGAGGATCTCCATTGTGAAGAACTCTCATGTGGCCATCACGATAAATAATAATATCCATGTGATGGTGTTACTTCACCGTGTGTGGACGAAAAATCCAGTCAGTGTCGACTTCCTCGGTGTTTACATTCCCAACGATAACCAGTACTCCCCTCTGGTGCACGGACTCATAGGTAGGTCTCTGTGCGTGGTGTGAAATACTTTCAAGCAGCGATACAACCACAGGGTGTTACTGAGATATCTGTGAATCAGATCTGAGGCCTAAGACTGTAAAAAAAACACCCATAGGTTTCTAAAGGGAGGGTATATATTTCATTTACTGAACCTATTTCATACAAATGTGGATTAACATATATCTACTTAACAGACACTGGCTTTTTGCAATCAAAACACACATTAGAACAAGTTATTGAGCTCTAGAGGTAAAAGCTAACAGTTGACTGACTTTTTTAGTTTAAAACATTTTTTAACCAACATAAATGTGTTCTATGAAGCCAGCCTCTAGCCACTAGTGTCACTGCATCTTAAGGCACATAGACATTGGTTTACCCTAAAGCAGTGCTTCTCAAAGTGTGGTCCGCGGACCACTGGTGGTCCTTCGAGCGCCCCCTAGTGGTCCGTGAGTATATTGGTAAAATTTCACATTTTAAATAAATAAATTAAAGTTTTCCGCACTCTTGCGGGAATATCTCCGCAATGGAGCGAGCTTAAGTTTTGATTGAATTATATAGCCCAGCGCAACACCTTCATCACACATGTTGCCACTTGTTTGTACAATTTTCAGGTGATTTGTAATCTGTTCTAGAAAAACGATGTGTTTTTGGATATTTGTGGAGTTAGGTGGTCCGCGAGTGTTTTTTTATTGGTTAAGGGGTCCTTGGTATGAAAAAGTTTGAGAAACACTGCCCTAAAGCAATGAAAGCAGAAACTTAATTAGTATTAATCTGTATTACACTTTTAAGAATCATAGATAATACTCTAAAGAGCCAATTTCAAGGGACAACAAATAAATGTTTGTCTTACCTGTAGTGCTATTTATCGATCATGATTGTTGTCTGCCTTCTCTATTATTTTTCCTTTAACAAAACTGCACCAACCAAAGCGCCAGCACAAGCCTCTCACCCCCAAGCAGATAGACACTCCCTTCCACACAATGATATGGATGGCGAGTGTGGTTCAATAACAAATAAAATAGTTCCTTCATGAAACATGCTCACAATACGTTTTGTCAATCCCTTTTGGTAATCAGGTCATGAATTTTGCTAAGAGACATAGTAGTAGTATTTGAAGCTGAAAGTGTGTGTGATCTCTCAGGGCAGTTTTCCAGAGAGCCTGAGGTGAGCGTGCACGACATGCACGAGGGAATGGACCCTCTGAAGAAGGAGGCCACGATGGAGGTGAAGGGCAACACTCTGCTTGTCACCAGGTAGGTCTTAATTCAGATGAAGTGATTTCTGAAAGAACACACTTCATATTCAAACCATACATCTTGTGTGTACGTTAGGGGCTGGCAGAAGGACTACAGGCGCGATAAGAGGCTCGGATCAAGCATCTACTGCTGGTTCATTCACAACAGTGGGAAGGGCTTCATCGACGGCCACTACACCGACTACATCGTCCCACATCTCAACAGCTTCCTGCAGGCGCTCTGAGCTGCCAGAGACACATTCAAGTACCATGCTCATCTATAGGGCTGCACTATTAATCCAAATGTTATCAAAATCAAAATATGGACTAGTGCAATATTAAAATCACAGGTAGCACAGTATTTGTAAAAGGCTAAGTATGTGTTCTACAGATTTATAAAACATATGTTTGGTACAGATATCACACCAAAATCATTTAATATTTGTTTCAATATTAAGAATCATAATTAGAACATGACAAATCTCTCTAATATTATGAATAATGTTGCAATTGCAATATTATTCATAACATTAGAGAGATTTGTCAGTCAAAACAAGTCATCTTTTCCAGATCTTTCCACACTGCTATTAACACCCATTTAGAAAAAGTGAAAACAGGAGGCGTGTGGTGCTTGGATCAGGGGGTCACAGGTTCAAACCCCACTGCAGTCAGCATGCCGTTGTCTCCCTGAGACACTTCACCCCAAATTTCTCCTGTGGGGATTGCCCGCAGTATTGAGTATGTAAGTTGCTTTGGATAAAAGTGACATGTAATGTAATGAGTAAATAGAAAGGGAAGACGATCCTTTTCCCCATTGTGGTTTTTATGAATCTATATTTCCTGATTTTTCTTTTTGTAATTCCTGTATACTACTATACTATATTGTATCCTGTGTACTATTCCTGTAGTCCTGGATGGTTGATATGGCCAAAGTCTATATAGCATTTTATATTCAGTAATTGTTCTGTAAATTCAATTAATACACTGCATCACATTTGATTATTTTCTTTTATATACATCATAGAAGACAACACAAGTTAAAAGACAAATACATTATTTTCAAAATGAAAGCTTTAAGGTTCCTGAGGACAATCATTTGAGGTGTAACAGGTTTTAAGGTTAACGGAAGCACATGAATGCCAGTCTTTGTTAATTCAGTTAATTAATCAAAGAAAAAAAGACTTTTCCTGCAGGTTTGACTTACATTTAAAAAAGCTCACAAATGACTGTGCAACCACAATTCTTTGTCCCCCTTATTTAAAATGTCATTATCCTCCATTTCTGCCCAAATCATGGATATATAATTGCAGGATCTCTATTGGTCGACACATTTCTATCATTGTACTTATCCCCCGATCCTATTATAAATGTTCCTAGTTATAAAAAGAAAACACCATAAAGTCACTTTTTGTTCAATTTATTAAGACAAAATGTACATTTGCAATGCTAAGATCAACTTGAACACCCGATACAAAATAAAAAACAAATTGCTCTGAGTTTCTCTGTGATGATGTGTGTGTGTGTGTATATACAGGTGTATGTTGGGGAAATAACTTTGACTAAGTAGAGTCCCTGAGTTTAGAGCAGACAGGTTGTTGGTTCAGGCCAGTTTAGAGAAATCCTCGTAGGCGACGCTCACCGTCTTCCCCTTCTGAAGACCCTGAGGACGAGTAGATCAAACTTCAATCACAGGTACTGGATACAACACGTTTAAAATGCTACATAAAAGTGAGTGCAGCTAAGGAGAGCAATACAAGTTTTTAAAATGTAAAGAGGTTTTACAGCGACATTCAGTTTTTAGATTAATATGATTCTTAAAACATATTTTTAAGTATATTATCACATGGGAATTATACCTGGAATCTTTTTTTTGTTTAATATTGTGTGATAACAGCATATATTTAGTTTAACCACCAGTTATTGTGACATTTTAACATTATTTTGGAATATTTTGAGTAATCATTTTGTGCTTAAGGACCACACACCAGTCAGAAATACAGAAGACCTTTGCATTCAAACCGGGGGAAATAAAACAAAAAACTATCTGCATGGTGAGTTAACCCTAGAGGAAAAGTAGATACTTTTCATAATTTGGTATAGGCTGCTTATGTTTTTCATGAGTTTTAAGAGGCAACTGTTGGATATCTTATCTTATATCCAGAACTATTTTATATTTACCTTACAGATGTGCAGTGGATAACAATGACTAACATGTGAGATGTACAGTACTATAAATACTTACAGTTGCGATTGTGAGCGTGGCGCTGAAGTTCTTCTCGTCGATCCCCTCCAGCAGAGCCTCCCTCTCTCTGTGCGGCCCGTTCAGGATCAGAACCTGTTTACCTGCAGGGAGAATCACAACAAGAGGCTGAGGAGGATAGAAAGTACAGCTGAGGTACAGACATGATGCTGCCCCCATCCATCAGATTACTATACTTTACTGTATAAGTGTTAAAGAGCTTTGGATGTTTACCTGGTGCAGGTATGACCGTCTCCACGTGATTCTGGTCCAATTTCAGCTTGTCTCCGGAGTCGATCATCTTAACAACGGCTCCATATTTCTCTCGTACCTCCTACAATTAAAAAGGATCCACAGCTTTTAGAAACAAAGGTCTCCATATTGAGGTTTTTTTTTTTTCTTAATATAAATATTTCATTCTAGTTTGTTTTTGATGGCTATGTATAATGTCTCAGAAGTAAGTTTTTCTATGTATATGTAATATGTAAGGGCGGTGGTGGCAAAGTTGATAGGGACCTGGCTTGGCAACTGGAAGGTCACCAGTTCAAGTCCCTAACACTAGGATGGGTCAAATGCAGAGAAACAATTTCCCCACGGGGATTAATAAAGTATATCAAAATTAATCCATGTTGTTGTTATTCAATTCAAGAGACTTAACTGCATGTAAACTACAAAAAACATGGATTTCTTTTTATTGTGAAGCTATTGAGGCAGTCAATTTCTAGGTTTCGATGTCAAAGCATTGACAGAAATTCATGCCATTTCCTTTTTTCCACATTTGCAAAAAAAGCTGAAACTGAATCTTAATTTTGACTATTATAATATTAGCATTAAGAAAGCTTACTTAATTATCTGCCACAACATAAGTAACCGGATCAGAGTAACATTAAGTACAGTCCGCGGCATATCACATCCAGGGTTCTTACACCTTTTCCAAAGTCAAATTCAAGCACTTTTCAAGCATTTTCAAGGTGCATTTTCAAGCTTTTCAAGCATCTTACAGCCGTTGTAAATTACATATTTATATACACATACTTATACTCAAATGATTATTTCCCTATACCTCACATTAAATCAGATGTTCTTTATGCTATAAACAACCAAGGACTTGGACAACCAAGGACTGTTGACCTCTGGGTAAATTGAAGTGAAAACTAATCGTAATTCTTCTTTTGTCTCTTCAAACCTCGGCACGGGAAATTGAACGAAGCGAAATGTGTATTTTGTCGAGAGAGGCGGAAGGGCGCCGATACGCGCCTACGAGACGATCACAAACACAATGCACACTGGACCCGTAAGACATACTGTCACTTATTACTGTCCGTAAAAACAACGGTCCTCCAAACCGACAAAAAGTTGACTCACAACCGATCGTCTAAAGTTCTGTTTATGTTCCGGTACCGATTCTACTCCCAGTTGGGTGCTCATCGGAGGAACGTTTCAAAGCGTTGTGTTATTGCTACCTTCAGCGCGACTGCTCGGTGTACTTTCCATGCGGCATAATCTGTAACAACCTAAAGCGGTTGCAAGTGACTACGCCACCAAAAATGCAAACAAATTGCGATTTGCAATCGTTGACTACCATTGCTTTGAACTAGCTCGCCTATTATGTATTAACGTCCCCTCTGTCCAGTATAAGGTCTCTCATGGATACAATACAAACGACAACAACATATAACAGAGGAATGACGCAACAAGACAAAACAAAACAAATTGTGAGTGACAACAAACAAAGGTTAAGTTGGGTCAGAGTGCGTCCAGCAGAATATCAGTTGCCTTTATATTGAGATAACTAAGCCCTGTGTCTCGCTAAAATTTTCGTTACATAAAGATGAACACATACAAAAACACGGATTTGGTTTACACCTGAACGAGATAACTTTAGTCAGTGTAACTGGCTTCTGTTGTAAGAGCAAAACATTAATGACCAGACCCTTCGAGTACAACCACCCCCACAAAAACATATGGCTCCATTGATACGATAGATATTATACTAATATAATGGAACAAACCCAACGAACGCCTACCGCAGAGAGAATCGTAAAATGTGCATCATATTGTAGGATATCGAATAGACATCTCGCGTGCACGCGGCCCATACCAATTCGGTCTTTTTGAGTCCGACAAGAGTCCCTTTGAGTTCTAGTAACACTGTTTCTACTGTAGTCCCGGTGTCCAGCTGATCCATGTATGTTATCTTCCAGACGGTCGCGCGCCGGCAGTATTGTACGTGTAATGCGGGTATAGTAGTCAGTCATTTATTTTAGTCTCGTGCCGGTTCTTGCTAGTCCGTCACCTCAGTGTTACCAGACCCTACAAACAAGCAACACGACGCGTGTTAACTGTCACCTTACTTGCATTAGTAAGAACACATCTCTGGAGTATTTAGTGTGTACTATCATCACGCCAAGCGTAAAAATACGCGTCTTCCCCCTACCGTGCCGGCAAAGCTTATTGCGTTCTTTTTCGTAATTTTCGTAATGGTCAAACCTAATCGGGTAACAATCAGGTGCACTTCCATCCCTTGACCCTC